CTCCTGAGGTTCCTTCTTGGGGCCATTTGAAAGAGATCCTCCCACTTGACATACATACCAGTTCCCCTTAGTAACTGAAATGTTGCTATAAGGTCCCCCATGTCATGTCTATAATGGAGGGGAAAGGGATTTGAAGCAGTCAGACGCTGTTCATATGTGGATTGCTTACGTTCAGGGACCGCCTAGGTAGGACGTCGTAAAACACCTTCGAGAATCCCCATGTCTTTCTTAAGCCAGGGCCGCCAAGCCTTCTATCGCATGTACATACTGCTACCAAAAGGGGTACCCAAGCCCAGTTAGTCGAGGCCATAGGCCGACTTGGTGGCCATCGCATTTCGGGAACGACTCCTGCGGTGCAGCTTCCGTTTTAGAGAACCCGCAGATGTTGTATGGTCTTTCATAGCTGACAATGGAAAGCAATATGTAAATATTCCTTCCAGCCTGGGTTTGTCATACCAGTAAAACCATTCGCTTATTTCTTACCCTCCACGGCTAACGAAGAGTTCCAACTGCAATAATCATTTATCAGTGAAAGGTCGCTTTTCTCCGGGCGAACTGTCTTCTTGAAGTGTTTTTTCGAACCACATTCTAAAGCACAAGATATTCACTTTGCTAGGACTTCCCTCCATGGCATATTTCACCTTTTTCATAATACGACTTTTATTTTTTGGCATTCATTCTCACACTACTATGACATTAGTGGAGGACTGTAAACTGCCTAAGGCTTGCAAAATGATCATTAGCATTACATACGTTTGGACTTTACAACGAGACTGTTTTGAATGACACCTGTTCTTTATTTGTTGGGATACGCACATATACCCTCGTAAGTAGATCGCCTGCTGCAGAGAGAGGAACACAATGACGAGTCCCGGACGTACTTTCGCTTTCGAAGAGGTTGAAATTCAGACTGAAGGTAACGACAGCGTGGACCCCGAGCCACTTGTATCATGGTGCTCCAGTCAGCTAACAAGCGCAACAAAGGTTTCGCCCCATATTAAGCTCTGAAATTTTGCCAGTGTATAATTATTGACCACGTAATGGGGAGGAAGCATGCAAACACAGCTTCTGGCAACATCAATTAATGGCTAAGTAATTATCACACCATCAATAAATACCAGCAACGAAACTTCGGTAATTATTGACTCGGGTCTGGATGCGAAATAAAGCACCTCATCTATCTGCCCAGTTGCGATGACTGCAGGAAGCATTAATCCCAGGACAAATGCGCCACTTTTACTACCTTCGCTCCTATTTGTGACTATTTTTGATGACTAATTCAAAGAAATATTCGAAATATCAGGCGATTAAACGTCTTGATCTAACGAACTGCCTCGTCAAACTTGCCTCTATGTTCCTATCCACACCTACAATTTTTTCACATGTTATTCAAGTTAGCATTCTTAGCTTAATAGAGTAACTATGTAAACGACTCCAACCTAAAACCACAGTGGTTAACTCATGCTTTTGAACATTCCCTCCCCACCAGAGCTCTCTATATCATCGAGCAGCGTGTGAACACACTGATTGTGGGGATCCTGATCACCCTCTCAGTCTTCATTGGGGACGTACTTCAGTACATTCCCGTGGCTGCCCTCTACGGCCTCTTCCTCTACCTTGGCCTATTCTGCCTCAAGGGCATGCAGCTGATTGTTTTTCTGCGCGTTGTGCTGACTCGCCGCAAGTACTGGGGCGAGTGGGCCCTACTGGATGGACTGCCCAACCGACAAGTGGTGGTTTTTACGCTTATTTGGTTGCTCGAACTGACAGTGCTGCTGGTTCTGCTGATCTTCAGTGAATTCCCGCTTCTGCAAAAAGCTGCTGCTAGTCTGCCCTTTGTCCTGCTATTAGCGGGCTTTTTGCGGCGATTTGCAATGCCACGGTGGAAATGGATCGCGCCCTATCTTGACCGGGTAGAGATATCAAAATACGCCTTCTTCCTTCCTTTCCTTCCCTCCTCCCCCCCCCCTCCTTTCTCCCTCCTTCTTTTTCTCCTCTTTTTCCTCCGAAACATACGCAAGGCCAGCTAGATGCGTTTGCCGCTTATCTTACTCCCAACAGTTAGGCGTGGATTTGCAAAATGTTCCTGCCTTCGATTCATGCGAACCGTCAGATCGTACCATATTTGCCAAAACTTGGGAAAAATTCCGGGGAATCATTAATTACTAATGTAGTTAAAATAGTTCTTTTAAGTGGTGTTCAAGTACCTATGGATAACGAAATGCAG